TAACAAACTTGGATTTTCAACTCCATAACCAATTATTTTTGAATTCAGTACAATAGAAACGCGCGTTGTTACATTTATTCCTTCGGCTATTCACCAAAAACTAATAAAAATAGAATGAAAAACTCGAGTTCGAGGAAATATCGGTCACTCCGAAGTCAATTGAACCGTAAATCGATATCTGAGAAGTTAATAAAAGTTTTTCTCCTAAAAAAAAGAACTTTTATGGTTTTTTTCTCATCATTCCCGGAGAAACGATACGATTCATCGGATATTTGTTTCATTATCCCATTTCACTCCAAAAGAAATCGATGAGGAATGGAGAATACCCTTTATATTTCGATTTTATGAATTCTATAATTAATTGCTTCCTGTTTGCAAGTGATTGACTGTAGTTACCATTAAATTTATATTCTCCATGATTGATTGCACGCGAGTGCTGTAGAGAGAAAATATGAGAATTTAAAAATTTATCTATCAAAAAATCGTGAAGAGTTAAGTTAGCTCTTTCTTATCTTTGATACACTCCCAAGGCACCATAAAAAATTCTCCCTTCTGTTATCGAAACCTTCGTCCCACCCCTCATAAATTCCCCTCCTTCCTCCCCCCCCCCCAACCCCAACCCCCAAATCTATCGATATCATCCACAAATAAAAGCCCTTCACCCCAGAAATAATCGATCTGTCATTTCCTCTCGATCTTTCATCAAAAGACTTAAAGTAACTCGGAGAATCGAGATAAATACCACCGATTGATCGAAAAGCTAACAAAGCATGAGAACAAAGAAAAGGTTCGTAAAAGGATGGATTATTTTTTGATGAGCCATTGAACTAACAACTGACCGAACAATTTGAAATCTTCAAATCCTTGTTTGTTTTTGCAAAAAGTTATTCTCTCATTGATTCCGCTGATATTAATACGAGAAATGAATGTTCGATGAGTGTGCAAAAGGTCTTGACTGTGCAAATGGGAATGACCAGTGCATATTCTATACATCCCGAAAGAAAACTATCTCCTTGTCGGCAATACCAACAGCAAATGTGAGAGGGGGGGTGACGAGGGGGTCAATGTCGGTTATACAGTGGCAGGCATTCACGTGATAAATCGTGTTGCGTGAAAGCCCCTCTTTGTACTGGTGAGGTCTTTAGCCCAGTGACAGCCGAGGATTGCCATAGTTGGGTGAATGCTGGGATGAGCTCGGCAAACTAGACTCAACGAGAAAAAAACTCACGAGACCGTGGGGTGCGGGTGAGACTGAGCGAAAAGTTAGCGACGGGTGAACTCGTCGAAATTGCCCCTGAGCTCGGCAATAAATGGCAACACAGGTAGTCTATACACGAAAAAAAAAAGAGTGGAAAAAAAATGGAGGAAGGAGGTAGAATGCCACTGAAAAACTCATCTAACCGTGTGTACCGAACGGTCTTTTATAAAGCTGTATAGAGATGCGGGGGATATACCGAGTTTGTGTCTGCCTCCCGGCGATTATTAAATTTCATTGCTATCGGGTTATCCTCTCTTTTTATTTTTTTCCTGAGTATCATATGGAGTACGAAAGACATGTTCTCAAATGGATAAATATGCTAGGAAGGGATTGCTTAATCCGGGGAATTACTACGAAACATATTGCTGATGATGTTACTTGGCGCCCGTTACGTTATGTTACGTTAACTTCCTTCTGTTCGCATTCGATTAAAAAAATATTATCCATACCCCATATATTCGTACCATCTGCGCGAAATATATCATATTTCATGCAAACAAACAATACTACCTATTTTCCCGTTGTAGCTACTCGCGTGGTTATTAAAATAACATTTGATGACAGTAGATAAAAGATATTACCTCTCGTCATCTGCAGTTAATACCCCAATAACTATTAATTCTCTGTTTTTTTGTCATAAAAAAGTTAATAAACAAAAATGTCATAAAAGTTACGAATGGATTCAGAAGTGGGTGGTGGGTGGTTGTTATTTATTCACGTAAAAGGGGGTAGGGTATTTATCGTTGATATATCATATCGATTGAGTCGCTGAAGGGTGAAGGGTGGAGAGGGCGGGGGTGAATGGAGGAGGATGGGGGAGGTAGGTACAGCTGTTTGTATGAGCGGTACCATTCCTCGGCGACGTACAAAGTAATTAGCTTTTCGGTTGCACTACCACCAGCGGCTACTGCCACTGCTGTATCTCTTTGTATGTTTTGGTATGATATGTATGTACCCCGTGACCCTGTGAGGACAACTCGTGGTGGGGCTATCTCAGTGATTGTCTCGTTGGTTGTGTGTCAGTATATTCAGGTGAAGTAGATAATCACGAGGCGACTGATAACGAATTTCTTTAACTCCCCGGACAGAAATATTTTAACGCGAATTGCGCTCAAGAAATTTGATTTAACGCCTTGAAAATGCATTTAACCGTTCAAGTTATTTTATGTGAATATTATAAATCGCAAATAATATTATAGCGATTATGAATCATATAGATGAAATATATATGTGATATACTTGAAGAAATATAGTTCATCGATGCCTTGAGATATATTTTCCTGATTGATATTCTATCACATATAAGTCCGCGTATGTTATGTAATGAATTGAAGACACCAGCTTGAATATTTTACAGAGTAAATACTTGTGAATGACGAAATGATACGATAGTCGTTCGGCCTTGACGATTTGTTTACATATATTTCCGGATGGGAGTGGATAAGGTTCAAGTACAAGCACCTAATCCCCGGGCTAATTAAGATTGAATCGCTCAATGACACGAGAAAATAAAATGAGCCTGACCATGACCGTCTTCACTAAAAAAAACGTCGGAGAAGAAGCCGCAGTCAAACGACGTAATTAAAGAGCTGAGTTACGACACGGCAACCTTGAGCAACTGTACAACGTTGAAATAATGGAAAAAGTGAGGTGTGCAATTGTTTACGGAGGCAGATATTGTAAATGTTTTACGCGAATTAAAGTTCACTCGAAATCCATTTACCTGATTGTCAAGCGAGGATGAATGAATGTAAATTCTTGGAAACCAATTTCTTTCTAAAAAGATTATCTAACTCGTTAATTACTCCCACGCGTGGGAAAAATGTTTGTAAATATATTAAATTGGCTAGTTCAATGTTGAAAAATATAAAAAGTGTATGTTCTATATATTTTGTTTTTATATGGATTGACATCAATAATTCGTTCTATAATATTTATTCCTATTTGATATGTAATTATTGACTCTCTGTTAATCCTCATTGAAGAATATCGGCAAGCCAACTGATAATCACTTGATTAACGGGAATCCTTTTTAATTATTACTACCGAGTAAAACCGTAACATTAATATTGCATGAAATATTACCGACAATTACACCAATAGAATGATTTTCCATACCGAGTATTTATCTCTAATTTATAGAATTTCGGATGGTCCCCTGATCGAAAAACCTCTACTAATTATCATATTAACCATCAAATTGGCAATTACGAAATAAATTTCTCCCAATTTTTAATGACTCTGAATTTTTCAAGTAAACGAATAGTGAGCTGAATAATTCTCCCAGAATATTTCTCTCGTTGCGGTAACCGCGATATTGCATACATGGGAAAATCTGGGGAGGGGAAAAAAACCACCCTATCATCTTTAACCCCCTCGTTAGCATAACTGTAACATACACACGGAGTTGAGGTTATATTAGAGAAGAGGCGTGCGTAATCTCGGTGTGGAAAACGTCATCGTAACGATCGAGGGCGTTAGCATATCGTGAGGTTGAGGCAGTGGTAACCGAGCAAGTGCCAACCACCAGCCGAATGTCATCCCCCCGACATTCATGTGTGTAGAAGGGCGTCTTCTCACACTAGCCTATACCCATTAGCTACAAGGTGGGTTACAAACACAACACGTCTCATCGATCATATCGTTTGACGGATCGTTTGTATCGATAGTGTCACCTCATACGCTGCCAACGGGTCAACTCTCCTACCATATCTCCACCAACCCCTTTCCAACCCCTTGCCAATCCCTCACCAACCCACGAAACATGTTATGTTCCACCTCACTTTGATTATTAATCGTCTATTCATTGTTGATTGTCATTCATTCGTTAAGTGGGTTTGTACAATCCATTTGATCCGTCATGTGGACATTCTGATAAATCAATCTATATAATACCCCATTATGTGGGGTAGGACCGAATCTCAATTTAATTAAGTAAATTTCCCGTGAATCAGAACCACTTTTTGCTTTTTTTTTCAAATTAATGGAGAAACGGATGATTTTTTGCGGGAATTTCTCATGAAACTACCAGTTTCTTTTTTTTAATTCCGAGGGTTACAACAGAAAATTTTTCGAAGTGATTGAATTTCTGTATTCTTGCGATTTGGCGTAGCTTCGATTTTTCGTAAGAAAAAAACAAATGGGAGCTTGGGGTTTATTTCTGGATATTATGAGAGAAACCCGAAATTTGGAAAACCATGTCATATATCGAAAATCAAAGACAAAATGATCCCCCAACGTCGGCGAGACTCATTTGTTTTGTTGTTTCAAGGCCAAAGCCCAGCGACCTATCCCAACGTTTGTACTCCATTCCCATCGCCAAAAGCAGATATAAAATCAAAAAGAAAACTACCCGACTCTGAAGACAATACCCGATCTAAATTTTCAGTATCTATTTCCCCCATAATCCCCCGGAATCGTCAGTCAGATGTTTCAAGGTCAAACCCGCAACCCTCCCCTCCAAATGCTCACGACGTTCTAAAACATTACGCACACCGATAAAATTCTGTCTCCTACATATCTAGTTCTTTCTAATCCTCTTTTATTCCTACAGGAAAATATATTCAATAGAGAAACGAAAACTTGATGAAAGCATTAGTCGACCGTGAAACAAAGGACCAATAAAAACAAAAGACAGTCACTCACCCTAGAGATGCGAAGGGGTTGGTGCAAGTCATGACCGCCGTGCATACGAAAACCCCAGGGTGAACCTCCTTCAAGAGTCACTTCCCTGGCACTCATTCTCCCCCACCACTTATTTACGTATCACTTGTGTATACTTCCAACAATGAAATATTTCCAATTGAATTGTCGATGAACCAAATACAAACTCGTTCCCCTCTGTCTATCTTTTTCATTTGTCCACAATAACAATGAATAATCGCATCGCACTCGGGCATTGAATAAGACAACAACACAACATCACGTTATTATCACTCACGAATATTGACGAGGAATTTTCAACGTACTTCCACACTCGTCCGCGTCCCGCGTTGTACTGAACTCTAATTTACCCCCGCGCCCCGCGTACCCACAAGTGGCGCCCTGTGTAGTTCCGACGTCGACGTGCTACGTCGTGCGACGTCCTCGTCTTCCTCGTCGCTGACACTCGCCATAAACTTCCTCTCTCTTCTTACACCAAACTGCCACTTTACTCTGTCTTATCTGTCCACCGATAACTGTTTTTATTTTGTTTTCAATGACCTGTCTCCCCATCGACGGACACCGGACCTCACTGAGAAATCCCGCCTTTTTTAATCGGAATTGCTCGCCGGCATGACCCCAGAAGAGGGCGTCTGGGAGGGATAATTTGTTTTGGCTGTTGGAAGCATTGTGATCGGTGGTATTTATATTTTGTCCTTTTCTGTGTTTGTTTACCGAATTATTTGGTGTGAATAGACGGAATTATTTTTCCTGAACTATTTCTAGTCTGCTACCATGAAAACTCGAGAATTCATTTGAATTTCATTTGCAAATTGATTTTTCATAACCTTTTTTCCTCTTCGATTTCAAATCGGATTCCATATCACTTTGACAAGAATTACTGCCATATATACATTGATAAAATCCATTCTAAAATCCATTGAAGGCATCGAATATTCGAATTAGTAATTCTGGGGTTAATTAAGAGATGAAATCTCCGGAAATATATTTCTAAAGTGGCGTTCCATCAGACTGGATGAATGGACAAGTCCGGTCATAAGTAATCAAACTAACCAGGAAACACTTTTCATCAAATTATCCATCACTGATCTCAAATCTCGGCATGAAAGACAGAAAAAAGAATTCATAATTTTGTGTTTTCGTTTGTGCGCGTCTCAAGTTGCAATTATCTCTTTTATGAGACATCGATGTGTCAGTGGCGTGTGATTGGCGCGTCCCAATTAGTGTTGAATAATTATTCAAGTGTCTAATCACTGCCTATCTAAGGAGAACGATCGTAGGGAATAAATGGAATACTCACTACTATTGAGGGTGGAAACCAATACCTGATTATTTCGAATTGTCCGGTAAGTTGAGATTTATTGGTAAACTATTTTCAGCTATTGCTGTGGTGTTGCAACAAGCCACGACAATTTAATTTACAGCAGTAAATTTGATCACTTATTGTATAAAATTGAATTGGCTTTTGAAATCACAGTAAATTTTCGAAATAATGTAAAAATTCATTTTTTTGTGGATAAATATATTTGATTTAAATTATTGCTTACAAGACAAATTCGATTTTAGGAAAAACTCACTACTCCAGAGATCCTGCATCCATCGCTGGGCCCTTGATGACAAGTTAGAGTGAGAAAACCAATATTTATTCGTTCTTCGAAAAATTGAGCGGCTTGCAGTGCCACAGGATGCCGAAAACACAGGGTGAGCTCTAATTTTACTCAACCCCATAATCTACCACACACGTTGTGACGCAGCATCCAATTAGGCTACTCACATAGTCCTTTCCATTCACCTAAATTTCTACTACCCCAGACTACACTCATTATCTCAAACTTCATGTTTGAGCTGTAGCAATTTATGCCAGTAAACCCATTAACTTTGAGGATTTACCGAGGTTTACCCGAGTACAAAAGGAGAGGGTACTTAATGGAAAAGTATTACTCCGCATGTTATATTACAAAGTACAGAGCCAATATCGAAGCCAAATCAATAGCTCATTCCGAATAAACGAGGCTCGTTATCCATTCACCGAATTTTCCACCACAAGATAATTCAAAACTGCCTGTCGGCTATTTAAAATTCTCCGTAAATATATGAAACAATAAATAAAATAATCACGCGATGCTCTGATGACCGAGGAAAAGCGAATACCTAAACAAAATTGAATTTCATTTAAATCAATGTTTCCCCTTGTTTTTATTAACGCCTCAATCAACTCCATCAACACGCTCTCGTCTCGAACAGTGTAAATCAATAAATTCAATCAGACGCATCACTCCAGGAAGCAAAAAAAAAACAAAACCCGGAAACCGAGAGTTGAGCGTAAATATGAAAATTCCGAGCGTGAAAGATATATTCGGTATTCTCCAATGCACCTCTTTGAGATTCAATTTGAATAAATCTTCAACTATCTCCTCTCTGTCGATTCAAATAAACTTCCACCAATGGTGCTGAATAGAAATAAATATCGCAACCATAAATACACTGGCATGTCCATTCACTCACTTGGAGTCATCCGGAAGGAGAGAATTAAAAATTGCATTCCATCGGGAAATGGAAAAAAAGTATTTCCGCACGTCTTGGAGACATCTGATTAAATTTTTTCCACAGACTACTTTTCTATTGCATCAAGCAACCCGAGAAAATCGAGTCCACAATGAGATTATCTTGAGAGAGAAAATGTGTTATTCGATATTCTGATATTTCCCATTCCGGAAGATTCAATTGAGATGTCATATTCATCGATAACTCTTCGTTCCAAATTCTTCGTCCCAGTGGAATTCAGCGGATTACAAAATTCCACGTCCGCAAATCCATAAATCTAATTTACATTCCGTCAAACATAATCCTAATATAAGTCCATAAATTCAATTAAAATCCACCGCCCACCCCCATCGTGCCATTAATCAACGACTCACCGAGAAAGATGGATAAATCCTATTGTGAATGCAAAGTCGCTTCTGCTATTAAATAAATTGAGGAACAACGCTCTCGAGAAATTTTCCCACCCCTGACAAACAGCCCCCTTTCCTCCTCTTTCTTGTCTTCCGCACTTCAGCCACTCCGTTTGCTCGTGTTACACTGATTGGTACTCCAACGACGTAATTACTCGCCCGGGAGGGGAACTACGTCTATGGGCAGTTGTAGGAGTGGTTGGACATTCGACTCGATTAAACTAAACGACGGTAGCTCGTTACGTTTAATTCAAAATGCTACAGCGGATGCCGCGCATATTCACCGGTTCTCTCAACTTTCCCTATTTTTTCACTTATCAAACCGGAAAATATATTTGTTTCCAAAGTTTGTAATATTTAAGTTGCAACTCTGAAGTCCCAAATTTGAACTAATAAAAATCACAACTTGCGAAATTAGAAAATCTTGAATCAAAACTTTTAAACTCCACGTAATTCTTTTCATGTTTTTTTTTTTTCATTTACTAGAAATCTTTTCAATTATACTTCGCCGCAGAGAAGCACCTCAATATCGCGAAGAACTAGTTATTTGTACCGAGCTTACAAAGGCCTATCGATTGTCCGAGCAATCTTCAAAAGAAAAATAATTCTTACATAATACCGCCATGCACTTTCTCCGTGGAATAATTCTTTCAGGCCACAGCAGTTTCTCACGCTGTATTAAATATCTCTCCCTCCTATTTTTCTCGAGGAAAGTATCGCTCAAAGTTTTATGACGAGGACGGGGACGCCGTTGCGGTTAAGCCGATTCCTGGTTTTTTTTTCTTCCCCGATAGAGAAACGGACCCCATTTGGCTTCAAGGATAGCCTCCAAGTGTGGTGGGAAGACACCGAAAAGTAGATGGCGGTTAAAAGGGGTGGAAAATAGGAAAAGATGGGTGGGAGTCGGGGGTGGCTAAATTATTAACGGAAATTAAAACGCTCCGGGGGCGAACTTCTCCACTGATTTACGACTACGATAACTCTGTCCTTACAATCCACAGGGTCGTTAATTTAGGTTCGATCGGGGGAAAAGGAGATGGGAAGAAGGCTTCGAGGTTTTCCCCACTGCTAGTACACCCAACTGTGGTTTAACGCAAATTTCCCTTGAAGAAATCTTCTGTTAGGGTGGTGGGGCAGGGGGGAGAATAAACGTCGGCTGATTATTTTGGAATTCATGCAGTGTGCGGTGTGCCGCATTTCTGGGTACCACTTTCAGCTACCATTCAGCCTCTAATTATGCTATGAATTTTCACTTACGTCTGGTGATCATCTGCGGGGGATAAACCGCAAAGTTGGCAGATTTTATTTTTTTTTCCTTTTTCCCGCCCACGAGGAATTGGTGGTGTTGGTTTAGGGAAATTATCCGAGGGGCAAATTGCCGGAGTTTTTTTTATATTCCCGTAAAATTAGGAAAGTAATTGAGCATTATTTTTTTGGGGGGTTATTTCCTCGAGTGTGCGGAGAATGGCAACATTTTTTATCGTTATCTGCACTGAATATGTGGGACACTCGTGGGTGCAGAGTTTAATTTTATTTTTCGTATTCACAATCGGCGAGCAGCCGCTTATCGATAAAATGGCGGGTTTGGCTTTTTTTTTTTTTGTTCATGTCCCTGTGCATTAGGTTGACCGAGAAAAGTGATTTCTCTCTCATTGGACATGGCGGGGTTATTATATCGGGCATAGGTTTCAATTAACGGATATCGGAGTCGAAAATCTCGGGGTAATTGCGGTGAATCGGGGAATTCACATTGAGGGAACATGACTGTTACTGTCAGAATGATAAATGGTTGTTTCTGGAGACTCGTCTGACATTTTGTTACGTCGGGTTTTTACGGGAGGAAAACGTGTTCGTGATTAATTCACATTATGGAATACTAAACTTGAATAGTTGGATAAGAAAGCTGAGGAGGGGAGTTAAATACTAGTTTTAATTGCCAAGGTCGTTGGAAGAAGGCCGATGCAAAAAGTGGATAGGAAAAAATTTATTTGTCAAATATGTACAGATTAAAAAAATTTTTTTTTAATTTCCTGTGAAAATTGTTTGAAATATTGAAATCTGGAACCTCAGAGGTGGAAATCATTGAATTTTATCCTCCAGCACCTCTGAAACTCACCAAATTGGCACATTGTCACAGATCCGAAATTACGATCCCTTATCTTAATTCCAATATCAGAAGTATTTGAAAGAAAACTTAGCTGTAAATTTTCACGGTATAAATCAAACTGGGGGATAAGAAAAAAAACTTAATGGCAATCTCACGCTCGAATGACAAATCGCACTCGGCATATTCCAGGGAATAGTTCGGCTTGGGCAGAACCGGATAGTTTCTACTTACCGGTTTCGCTGACACAATGAACTTTAGTTGGTTGGCACGCGCACTCAGATCGGCTGTTTTTTTTTTTTAAATTTATAGTCGCCGGTTCACCTAGTTCACGAATGTGTGACTGCATTGCTTGAGGTACGAAGGTCTAGGCGAGTCTAGGTCGCGGACTTGATTCGCGACTCCCCGATAAATCGCGCATCATACAAACGAGCGATTAGCCACGCATCACTGTTTCCCATTTGCATAAGATTGCATTCAGTCTCTAATCGAATCAATTTTTCACGGACACGGAGAAAATACCGATTATTCTTTAAATACCTCATCCGTATACCCGCTATAAATTTAATCACACGACATGGAAAATTTATGTCACACATTCTAATTAATTATTAATTTTTATCAAGAGAAAGATTAAGAAAATATCTATCATAAATTCTTCTCTCGTGGAGTGTCTGCATTTCTGCGTAAGGTATCGACATTTTCCATACTTTATACGCAGACGTTTCGTAATTTCCCTAATGCATGGAATGAAATAATACATTACCTCGTGAATAAAAAATTCCCCTCAATGTCCATAACCCCATGACAATTACAACTAACGGTATCGGAAAATGTTCGTACTGTCTGATTTTAATATTTGCGATAATGGAAGGAGTGGAATTACTTAATGCGTCATACCTGATATTGATATGGCATTAGCACGACCACTTAACCGGATACATCATTCAATCTCGTGTATCGCGTGTACATCACGGGGTAATGAATATAATGGCCCCTCATATCTCAAGATCAAGGTCGTAAAGATAGAGTTTATCTACCGGTTGTGTCGCACTTGCGTGGCTTTCATCAAAGTCTTTTCCTTGAGAACGAAATGCCAGACGAATGCCACACGCATGTGCATTCACTCGAAAATAAATTACTCTTCAAAAATATTTTAATCAACTTTTAATCACGTGATTTCTGACAGATTGAAAATATTCTGGGGTGCAAATTTTTTATTGATACCATTAGAAAGTAATTTTTTTTATTTCGATAGTGTACCCTCGGAATCGATGGGAAATTCTGGGAAATGCTGGGAAATCATTCGATGGAAAAGGAATTTTTGAATTGCGCGACTGAGGTAGATGTAGTCTCACGTGAGAGTCGTTTTTACCATTTGCCGGTGCAGGAGAGGCACCAGGTAAATGACCATGTTTCATGACTGGGAAGTTATCGATTTTGATATTGCATTACCGGTCTCTACTTAGCCTTGAGTACATCAGAGCAGTCAACTCTGAATTACCTGGAATGATGCGTCATTTATTTTTAAATTTTAAACACTTTCAATTGAATTTTTATTGAGTTTTTATGATTATCAGTGCAGGTATTTTTTAAATTGAACGGGTCCTCGAAGAAACAGGAATTTTATTATTTAAAATGTA